TTTCACTCTCATCCTTGTTTGGAAGATAAATTCTATGGTCATATTTTTCAGGCCATTTTTTATAGTATAGCTCATCTCTGAAGATATATTTCTCATGCCAATTAATAAAAATGAGCTTACTTTTCCTACAACCGTCGTTGACACCCTTACCTTGCAATCGTTTAAGTATTTCTTCAGCACAATAATTAAGTACCACAAAAGCTAATAAATAACTCACGAGGATTCCCCTGAGGGTGAAAGCAAATACGGTAACTCCACCTAATACAACATTCCTGGGCAAGAAATATGGGTTTTTAAACTTTATGTTTGCAGAGCAATTTCCAATCTTTTAAATTAGATTTTCCATTTTATGAATGTAAGAATATGTACCACATTGGGAGGTAAAGAAACAGAAACTTAAAGAAAAAGATGCCTTTGTGCCTCTGGAATACTATTCCATATCCATACTCTTTGTGGTCTCATATGGTTTTTACAGACTTGAGTCACTTGCTTTCCTGTTCTTCAGGAGACACTGCTCTGGTTTAATAACTTGAGAATGCTAAAATCAACACATCTCCGGAGATGCTGTGAGAATTAGGGAGCAGGGCTGGAGATCGAGAACAATTACCCTGGTGCAATATGGCTTGCCAACAAGAGCTATAGTTCCTACAGGCATGTGGCTTTCTAACTGCAATCTAGTTTTGAGTGAAGAAAAGAAGTTCAAAGCAAAGCAAAGGAGCAAAGAAAGTTTTGTGCTTTATAAATGGGCTTGGGGGCCCTCCATGGTGGCACAGTGGGTTAAAGCACAGCACTGTAAGCTAGCCACAGCTGCTTCAGTTTGAGTGGGCCCTGAGGTGATCCACATGGCACAGCAGACTTTTCCTGTCTCACCCACTGCCCCCCTCAGCACTGTGCTTTGTAGATCTGCCTGTTTGTTCTGCCCCCCCACACTGTCTCTGGTGAATCCTCTCATTGACCCTGCATCTCTGGCTTGTACCCCAGTTCTGTATGCATATATATATATATATATATATATATATATATGTATATATATATTTATTTATTTATTTATTTATCTAAAGATTTATTTATTTGTGCATACAGAACTGGGGTACAGGCCAGAGGCTCAGGGGCGGTGAGAGGCTTCACCAGAGACAATGGGGAACAGAACAGGCAGATCGACGAAGTACACTGCTGAGGGGAGCAGTGGGCCGGTCAGGAGAGGTCTGCCACACCATGTGGTCACCTCCGGGGCAGGCGGGGATGGAACTCATGTGGAAGCGGCTTTAGATTCTCAGTGCTGTGTTTTAACCCGCTGCGCCACCAGGGAGGGCCAATATATATATATTTTTTAAATGTACTTGGAGAGCCCCTGTCTTGGGGGAAATTGTGTAGTATCTGAAGAAAGAGTTATAAAACCTGAGGACAGCTATGGCATGACTTTTGCTTTGAATTGCCTTTTCCACAGCTCTGTTCTCTAAGCATAGGGAAGGCAAATGGAGTACAAACAGAAACTTCACCTCTTAGGTAATAGCACTACTTTGAAAGTGTTTAAAATGGAGTGGCGGTGTCAGTCCTGCCTGAAAAAGTCTAGAAGACCCAGAATTCTGATATTTTGGAATCAGAAGTACTTTCAGAGAGATATCACAACTGGGTTTCCTCATTTCCCCCAGAGGCTTTCAGATGCAGAGCTCTAAAGTGCTGTTTCTGAAGGTGTCAGTTGCTAGCCTGGGGTACTCACCAAGTAACTTTACCCTAAAAAATATAAAAGTTAAAAGCTGTGAACATTTTTTTTTTTCTGCTGTGAGAAACTGTCATAAAACATAAATGAAGTCTTTGGAAACAAATTGCACAAACACTTCCTGCCTGGAAAGAGGGCTTCTCACTGTGGTTGGCTGCTGTTTCTGACAGCAGGGTCTCTTACTCCTGGAGACAGTGAAACCGAAGCTTTAGAACCTGTTCCGTGCTTTTGTGTCCTCTTGCTTAAAACTCCTTTCTCTCTAATGCATATGTTGCAAGTCCTAGAAAACTGGAATTATGGCCAACCTATCATATCTTAATCTCAAATTTTGAGGCTCCCAGAAGCTCCTGATGAGAAGAGGAGACAGGTGAGGCTGAGGATGACTCACTCAGCCGGGACCTGGCTAGGGGCAGGCTGGGGCCTGTGAAGAACTCAGTCCAGTAGAACACTGAGGGCTGTCTCAGGGCATGTCTGAAAAGTCTATTCTCTCCTTGTTTCTTCCGCCATGAGCTCTTTATCCAGACCACACTTGATTTTCAGATTTGTAGAACCAGGATTTTAGATCTGGCAAGGTTCTTAGTTTGACAACATCTCTCATTTTGTTGGCTCAAAGAATGGTGGAGACATGGTTCATGAGCTCCTCTCCCTGCAAACTATTACCTACTTGATGGTAATACTTAAAGCACAAAGAATAGGTGACACACTTCTTAGATACCATCTGTGTGTGGTATGTCTTTGAGTGGGTGGAAACCAAGGAATGGTGCTTACCTGTCTAAGCACTGCGCTAAAGTAGAAAGTAGTGCAACTCTATATACACTTTTACTGCATGCCTATCATAAGTAAAACTTCTGAGTTACCCTTTGAGGAGACATAATGCTGATAAAATATGATGCCTGTTCATAGTGTTTATATCAGAGCACATGGTAGGGAAAGCTTGTCCTTCATTTTAAGTCCTACTGGCAAGTTAGGGTTGATTAGGCAGCTTCAGGGACAATACAGGCAGAGATTTTTGAGTGTTAAAAATCTTCTGAGATAAAGACAGAGAAATCCAAGAGTGCTAATCAGGGAGTGAATTTTAAGGCTAATTCAGGAGAGTAAATTTTAAGAGAACTTGGACAGGGACAGTGAAAGAAAAACTAAGATAAGAGCTGTAAACTGGACACAGCTGCGCAGGGAGGTACAGGCACAGAGGAAGAGCAGAACACAAAAAGGATGACAAGATTTTAGAATAGAGAAAAAAGATTTAAATATGCCTTAGACTCTTATGCATTTGGCTCCCTCGCCCCTCCCAGGCCTGGTTCTACCAGCCTGTAAGTCCCACTTTATTTCTGTTCCTTTTCTCCTTAATAAACTTTTTCTTTCTCTAAACAAACCTGTCTCTTTTCACTGCTTGCCTGATTGTCAGCTAAGTTCCTGCAGCAGAATCTTGAGACATCAACTGTGGTGGTCTAGTGGCCGGGACTCAGCACTGCCACTGTAGCCTGGGGTCCATTCCTGACTGACAGACTAGGCCTGAAACTTGAAATCACCGTAAATCAGTTTGATATTATTAGCTACCATTTTTCCAACCACCTACAATAGGCTCAACATTTTGTTATATAAATCATCTCTAGCTTTCCTAACAACCTTAGAAGGAAGATAATCATTTTCCTCATGTTATTGAGGTGGAAACTGCAATTCACTGATTTGTCCAGGTACAGAAACCGGGGCTTGTGAGGCTGGAGTACAGGATATGTAATGTGCCAGGAAAGTAGAAATTCAAGCAGCACACTAAGCCCTGCTTCACACAGGTCTCTATTTAAATCTTAGTCTAACACTTTGTGTGGACATGCCCTGGAGAAGCTGCTCCCTAGCTTGGTTTCCTCATCTATGGATTGAACACATTCCTTTGTAATGTAATTGGAAAGGTGAAAAGACATAATATGGGCATCAATCAATTCCCAGCACATTGGAGCACAAAATAACTTATTTTGTTATCTATAGTAGATCTTCTAGATTGACACCTTACTTGCTGGCCAACTTCTAGTAGTGACTGAATTATTACTTTCTCAGTGGGCTGCCCCTGCACTTCCTGTCTAGAAGGCCAGCACATTCAACTCTATGCCCCTTTTCCTATTCTCTTCTATCACCAGTGTATGAAAATTTTAATTCTTTGTTTGTTAATATCTACAAGAATATAAAATTTTGTGAACAGGAAACTATTTTGCTGTATCATTTCAAGCATAAATATACATTGGTTAAAAGAATGATTGTTAATAAAAATTACTCTTTGCACCTGGAGTACTTAAATTTGAGTTAGTCATTTTTCCTTTCTGTCAATTTGACTCTGAATATATTACTTTTGGATAGTAAAGCCTTGTTCTTCATTTGTAAAGTGGGCAAATAATGGCATCTATTTTTAAGACTGCTGAAATGATTAAGTGGCAGAGGTGTAAAAGCTGGCACTAGCAAGTGCTAGATTAATACTCATAGTATGATTACTCATAATAATGTGATCTGCTCTTTAAATTGCCCTGGAAGGCAGCTCGAGCTTTAATATAGGAAGAGGATGGCCTGGAAGTCCTCTTAGTTTTAAGCTTAATTCTCCTCCTAATTAACCATTTACAATTGAATAGGTGTAAATGTGGCTTTGTTCATACTTCAGAGGCTGCTGGTAGCCGCTTTTACAGGACGTGTCACCAAGGAGAAAGGGAGGCTGTGACAGCTCCAGTAATTTGCCCAAAAACCCATTTCAAAAAACGGGGCTTATAGGACCCAAATCTAGACATTGTGCTCCTGAAACTGTATTATCCGCTGCTTCTGCTAGAAGCACTCTCTGCAGTGTATAAGGCGATGAGGCTGTGACCTAAGGAGCCCCGTATCCCCCTGGTCTTGTCACCGCTCGCATCAGAATGGCTCACTAATTTTTTTTGACACTCAGTTTACTCGCACCCAAAACAAGAGAGACAAAATGCGCGTTATATAGCTTTGCATCCGCGACTACAGGGAGAAATGTTCTTTGAACATTGTAAAGCGTAACAAAAAAGTTATTGAATGGCTTTACCACCTCTCGAGCCCCTCGCTTTCCGGTCCCTGGAGTGGCTCCTGCCTGCCTCCACCCTCCCCACGGCCTCGTGGCTCAGGGTAGGAGGGAGGATTAACTCCAGGGAGCTAGTCTGGGCGTTTCTCCCTGCGTTTGGGTAGAAGTTCCGCCCTGGGCCCCCGCCCGCCCCGTCGCCTCCGCTTCCCGGGCGTCAGCACTTGAGCTGAGCGAGTCTCCCCCGCCCAAGCCGAGCCGCGCTCCTGCCCCGACCGCCCGGGGTAGCGGGCCGCCAGGATGCAGGCCCCGCAGAGAGAACACTTGTACAAGCTGCTCGTGATCGGAGACCTGGGTGTAGGCAAGACCAGCATCATCAAGCGCTATGTGCACCAAAACTTCTCCTCGCACTACCGGGCCACCATCGGTGTGGACTTCGCGCTCAAGGTGCTGCACTGGGACGCGGAGACGGTGGTGCGCCTGCAGCTCTGGGACATCGCAGGTGAGCAGCTGGGGCGGGGGCCACGCTGTGGAGCGGCGGGACAGGGACCTGTCCCGGGGCAGTGAGTTGCAGCCAAGCGGAAGACCCAGATCTCCGGAACACCGAACCATAGGAGACTTTCTGTGCCTGTTTGGGAAACTTGTTTAAGAAAACAAACAGAAAAGTTTCTGCTTTCCTGAAAAGTGTATTTTTTGGAGCTTTTTGGGGTGTTGCTTTGACTCTCTCCTGCTCCCACTTCTGATAGCTCTCTGGTGCACTGGCTTCCCCGGAAACCCAGGAGACAACCTGGAATTGTCTTGAGTCTGCTCTCCAGCTCTTTTTCATGCCTGCCCTGGGGACACGGAGGGGAAGGCCCTAGACATTGTAATAGCTGGAACCCAAACGTTTAGAGCTAGAGGCGTTTCCCAATTCTTGGATTCAGCCTTTCATCCCATCTCAACATCACCCACCTTTTTATCTTCAAAGTTCTTTGCTTTAAGAAAACCAAGGTCATTTCTGTATTTCTAACTGTGGCTGGGTTACTTTTCCTCTCTTTTTTGCTTTGTTTTCTCTCTCATCCTTCCTCCCTCTCTCCTCCCTTCTACATCTGCCCTCCTCTCATCTCTCAAAAGGGGCTTGAATACACACACACACACACACACACACATTCAATATATATTTAAGATCACTTTTTAAAAAAGATTTATTAATTTATGCATACAGAACTGGGGTATGGGTCAGAGGTGCAGGGGTGGTGAGAGGATTCACTAGAGATAGAATGGGGAGCAGGAAGGCAGACTGATGAAGTACACTGCTGAGGGGAGCTGTGGGGGTGGATCAGGAGAGGTCTGCTGAGCCATGTGGATTACATCTGGGGCTGGGAATTAAACTCCCAATGAAGCAGCTGAGGCAAGCTTGCAGTGCTGTGTCCTAAACCATTGAGCCACCAGGGAGGGCCTAAGATCACTGTTGTCTAAGGGTGTATGACATTATGCAGAAGGTTTCTTCATTTAAGTTTGAAGTTCTCATTAAGACAACTGGAAAATGTGAAGTGTCTTTATTATGTTTGAAATCAGAAATTTCTTCTAGAGTTCGGTCCTGTCAAATGTGAGGGTGCAAAATATCCACTCTAAGAGTCAGTCTTTGGATGGAGGTTATTTGCAACCAGGGAATGCCCAACCAACCTCTCATTAGAGATCCTGGCCCTGCCATTCACTAACCTGCTCAGCAGCTTCAGACAAGTCCCTTGACTTAGTTGTGTCCCAGATTAGTGGAGAAGGATTAGACAATAACAGCACAAGAAACTTCTGTTCAGATACTATCAGTTTCTCCAATAACCACTCTGACAGTTCTACTTCACTTCAGTTTTGTGATCTGTGAGTTCAAGAATCTTTGTAAGTACTGCATTTGAGCAGTTTTTAAGAAAACAGACCAATTTAGTTGGTGTATTTGAATGTAAATACTTAATCTTGGCTTGAAGTGATAACAAGCTTGGAAAGCATTCAAAAGAACATGTCTAGTTCTGGGGGATTCTAATCTAAGACCTGAGGTGCCAGGGCTTACCAAACTCTTGGTTTGTGGTCAGATATGTGCATTTGGAATCATCTTCAACTGTTCTAGCAGTGCAGAGGCTATCAGAGATCAGAAGATGTCATTAGTGACTATCTTATGGGACTTTTCCTCTAGAAAATTCCCTATAAGCCTGTGCAGTTTGTTGCTGCATGTCATGTCCTTCTGTCTGTATAGAAGTCTCCAGGATTCAATAGCCGAAATAGCTCAGTTGGGAGAGAGTTAGACTAAAGAAGTCTCCAAGATTCAGGGTTCAAATTTGTTTATTGTTGAAAAGGGTTTATAAATGTAATTTGGACTTTGTGTCATGCAAGTGAAGGGATGATGTTAGGCATTATGTATATACGCATATATAAATATATTTATATGATGTCTCATTTGGTAAAGAAGAGTGAAGGGTTTAATAATTAAAAGCCTAAATGCCCTTGGTGATATAAAACAAGTCGCTAATTTCCTGGGCTCTGTTTCCTTACTTACAAATAGGCAGAATGTTTTTTTTTTCTTTTTTTTCCCCAGCAAATGAGAGATGAACAGCCAGCAATGGCTCTAAGGGTGACATAGGTATAGGATTGCCGTAAAGGTTATGTTTTTTGAGCAAGTATAAATTCTAGGCCAGAGGGATATGATGTAAATGTGCTGACTAAATTTTAATAACTGAGAATACCTTTTTTTTTTGCAGATGTAGTCTGACTCCAAACATTCAGTACAATTTTGTTTGTTTGTTTTGCCCATATTACAACTTACTCCTATGAGCAATTCCACTCCCAAGCTTGGGAATGCCTCCTGAACTGTGGTCCAACTATGCTGCCATGGAAGCTACAGTCACAGAAGTCTTAGGACTTTTGCGAAGTCCTAAGAAATAAGAAATCCTAGAACTCTTGGAAAGTCAGTTCTGCAGATATATCAATAGCATTGCAGGTGGTATGCACCTCCTCACTCCTTCTTTCTTCTAGAATGCTGATACTCAGTAGTAACTGTCTTTGGCAGCTTCCTGCTCAAAGACCCTGTGCACCTTGTTAGAAATTAGCAGAAGACAATTCTAGTTATGGGAGGAGTTGGCTATGTGAGTAAGGACAGTTGGAACCTAACACTGACATGTTTCAAGGTTGAGGAGTGAGTTCATATGCAATCCAATTTAATTTACCCAGACAAGAGTACACCATAGTGTCCTCAAATCATAGTTTTCCTGTGCAAAGAAGATAATTATTCTCTCTATTATTCTTTCTGACTCTATAATTCTGGTGTATACATGGAAGAACACAAAGACCTGACTTTGAGAGAACTGAGGTATGGATGAGATAATGGGGACCTGCTATGTCTGGATAGACCAAAAGAGTCTCTGCTACAGGGGGAGTCTTTGGCCAGTTATGCTCTTGATACTGTGTGTGGTGTTGGTGTTTGGGTGCCAGCACCACTCCACGTCTGCCGTGGCCTCTTGCTCCAATGTGCCCAGGTGGATCATGTACAATTTCAGTTCAAAGTGAGGCCCAACCTCAGTCAGTTCCACGTTGTGGTGGCTGGTCTTCTTATACACGTGGTGCCAAAAAGAGATGTAGTCATCCTGGTTTGCAAAGGTGATGACCCAGTGGCCATCATTTTTGGGCACTGGGAACAGGTAACGATGTATGTCAGACACCCACTGTTCAAGTAGGGCCCTTTTGGTCCAGCAAATTACCATGATAATCTCTTGTAATTTCTTAGGCTGGTCATTTTAACTCGCAAAATTTCAGAATGTACCTTTCAGGGCTTATGAAGATGGCCTTGAAACTAAAGTACTGGCTACCTACAGGAGTAACAAGGTCAGTTTTGGATTCATGAGCTCTTGATAGAGTCAGAAAAATTAAGACATTGTGTCCAGAATTACCCAACTTTTAAGTAGAGACCCAGATTTGACCTGGTTTTAAGGAAATCAATCCATCTTCTCTCTGATCAAGGGCCTGTTGGTGCCTGCTACACAATAGGTCTACTCTTTCTAAAGGAGTTAGTCCCACTCTACCTAGGTTACACTTCCTCTCCTTTCTATTTCTGTGGGTTTTTGTTTATTAGCCATTACCACTATGCAGACAGAAATAAAATAAAAATATTTCTGAAAATCTGATTCTTGGTTATAGCACTTTCGCTTTTGTATATTTACCAGAGGAAAAAAGTAAACAAAAAGTTCACACTTGAACTTTCTTTCTTGAGCCACTTTTTTATTCTACTTTAAATCTTAGTACTATAATTCCTCCACTAATACTTTCAAGAAAAACAATACAGTTTTGTCTATAACTCTTAGTGTGTTTTAGAATCCAATTGTAGAATCTGGGACAGAATAATAGCACGGCATTTCTTAATTGTTTATTCTTATATTGTTTCACAGACTTACTTTTTAATTTTTTTTAGTAAAAGTGCTGATTAAATGGTAGTGCTGAGGCCTTTAAATTTGGTCATTGAGTCCAGTCCCTACGATCCTGACAGCTTAGAGCTACTTCCATCAATTAAAAAAATAATATGTTGGATATATTCTAAATTATAGATATCCTAAAAGTATACTACTTGGCATTGGGTAATCTTTAAACCTTTTTGGAACTCAGTTGTCACAACTATAAAATGGTGTTTCATTTTTTATTTATACAACACATATTTTTACTATGTTATGTTTTGCAGCCTCTGCAGCTCTAATATAGTTTTCGTGTGTCCATATTGTACATGGCAGCTTACCCAACTTTTTACTTACTAGTTTTATGACTTGTGCAGCTTACTTACACTTTATGCCTTTGCCACCTGTTTATAAACTTTGGACAAAAAAACATACTTTACATCTTAAACATGTTAGAAGAGTAAATTGAATTAATTTATGTAAAACTTTGCCTACCATATAATGAATGCTGAATAAATATTAGCTGTTACTAGTCTTGCTATTGTAATTACAAACCACGGGCACAAGCTTTTTTTTTTTTTTTCTCTTGATATTCCAAGCATTATTGAGGGGTTTGGATGGAACAGGTAGTATTAAACCCACTTATATTAAAGAAGTTGGAGAATCAGGGAGCCTAGATGCTTGTCTAAGTCCATAAGAACTAGCAGAGGAGAAGAACAAGAAGTCTAGCTCTAGTTTGTACTCAAATAGGAGAGAGCTGACCAAGCCTGTGTTTGTCAGAAAATCCAAGTGTAGATTTAATAAATATGGTTGAAAAGAAATTAAGTTGTCAGATAATTTGGACACTTTGTGGCAGGTCTCTCCTAAATAACAAATGTCTCTAAAGTACTTCAAACTATAAGTTATAGTTTGTAAGAACAATAATTCTCTGCAGAACAGAGTTATACTAATTTTTCCCATATTGCCATGTGACATTGAAACTCTGGATGACATTAACTCTCCTGCCTCCTGAGAGAGGCAGGGCAGGTGCCCAGGACACTGACAACCTATTCCTCAGGATTCCTGTGAGTTTCACCTTTGTCACTGCATTGTG